AAGGAAAGGAGTGGTAAGAGAGTAGTTGGGAAACCGAGAGAGAAGCTAAAGGCTAGGTAACCCAGAGACAGGATGAGCACCTCCTGAGAAACTGGAAGCTAAAGCAGGTGCCTCCAAGAAAGGCGGAGTTTTGGAGCGGGATATGAGAGAGGAGGGGCGTTCCTGAGCAGGACAAGGTGGAGGATGGGGGAGCACACTGTGCAGACCAGAGCCAGGGCCCCAGCACCTCGCAGAGCTCCAGGCACAAAGCCACCGCTTTGCATGGGGCGGAGACTCTCCGTCAACGTGCATCAGGATCTCAGGCAGCTCAGTGCATGCAGCTCTCTCTCCTGGGGGGCCCCCCATGTGCACTGGCTGTGTGCTGACCCAAGGAAGTTTGCCCTGTCTTGGAAGGTGAAGGAGGAAGAAGAACGTGAGCAGCAGGAGGCAGATGCGGTCTAACCCTGGTGGTAAAGCAGAGTGACAGGTTCTGGGAGGAGGAAACCAGAGAACAGGAGGAGCATGGCCCCTCCCCCTCGCCTTGCTGCGTCACGCCTTCGTGAGGGCGGACCCTGTCTTCTGGGAGCCTGGGAGGGTTCTGGGGACAGGCCAGAGGAGCTCCCTTTGTACACATGAGCCTTTAAAACAGTTTGGATTTATTGCGGCTCTTAAGCGGCTCGGGCTAATGGCTTGGCATGGATAATGTCCTGTTTAATTGGTTATTGTGAAAGCGGCTTGTTTCTACTGTGAATTTTCTTGTTCCTGCCTTCTGCTCAATCCCTCACAGGCTCCCTGAATCAATACAGCCCTCAGGGGGCCACCGTGGAGCCGTCTCAAGGCAGCCACTGCATGGGGACACAGCTGTCCACAGGACTGCTCAGATCCCAGTAGTAGGCCCCAGGCTCTGGTGCACAGGTGGTGACATTACAACTGGGGTTGTGTGTGTCCCCAGGAATGGATGGGCCACAGACACCTCTCTATCCATAAATGACTCCTGAGAAAGACTTTTCAAGGTTAAATTGGAGAGGTGGAGCTAGAAGTGACAAAGGAAGTCAGAAAGTGACCCCTTCTCATCAAAGCAGAGCAAGCTCATCAAAACAACAGGTAAATTCACCCAGAACCAGTAAAAGGTGTCAGTTGTTGGTGCTGCCAAGAGGGAGGACAGCCTTTGCAAAGGAAGGTGATATTTGTATTTTTGAGAGCAGAGAGCTCACATGATCTTAATTCCTCTTATGGCATTTCTTTCCAAGGTCATGGTATTTTTCTTAAGTCTTTCTGAATCTTTTGACCTTAAATATATTTCGTTCTTGTTCTCTTTTAAGGGGCATGAAATATCCTGTTGTGATCCAAACGCAGCCCATCTGGAAGCTTAGGACTGAGCACGTAATGCTGGGGTCAGGTGTTTACATGTCAGTCTCCCCATGAATGGTTTGAGACAGGGAGGGGGACTTCCTTGTCTGCATGCCCCAGAGCCTGGCATGGTTCCTGGCAGGGCAAGTGCGTTTCCTCAATGTTGAGTGAATGTGCCCAGAAAGATTAAGGAGAGGAGGGCATTTAACTGTAAAACTGTACCTTATTGATTCATACATTTGTTATTTTTATGTCCTCTTTTGTGTATCATCTGTAGAATAACCAAAATGATTTCATGCAGAAGGAATTCAGAAAATCAAGCTTTTTGAAATGCAAGTTGCAGCCTATCTTTAAGTGGGATCTGCTATAGTATATCTGAAATTATAACACTGAAAACCATAACAATATGGAACACAAGCTTAATTAGCCTATCAAGTGGGCTTCCTCCTTCTCTCTTCTGACACAGAATTTATATGTAAGGTTCACCATACGTGGTGAGTCATCTCTGGCTCATGTGGTTTTTAGATAATTTCCATTCTAAGGAGTTGTTTTATGTGTTGAATGTGCTCTCTTTAATTCACACTTTAATATTTTTAATTTGCGCCTTGGTTATTGTCTTCTCCTTTATGTTATGTTTCCTTGGAGTTAAACATCCTCAGTAAGACAGTAACGGTGGATACTTTTCAGGAAAGACTTTGTTCAGTGTGGATTCTTCTTATTGAATCATTTAATCCAGGGCTGATTTCTCCCAGAGGCACTAGAGAGCACATATGCCCAACAGCCAGGCGTCTCCAAAATGGAGCTCACACACCCCGGGACCGGTGAAACTTGGGGCAAAAAAAGATGTATTAGTGCCTCTGTGTTTATTCCTCTTAGCTCACACTTTTAACTTTATGTATATTTTATAATGTAATATGTTAACATACTGATCAATAGGTATATGATTTATAAAGAAACATAAAATGTATGCTCAGTTTTTCCAGTGATAGGCATATGCAGTCTAATATGTTTAGAGACAGACCTCTGCTCTAAGAATGGATGCATCCAGACGGGCAGCTACCAGGGTTCGTGTCCAACTGAATGGGAGAAAAAGGTTAGGTTCCTCCCAGTTGTGTGCAGCAGCTCTGTGTCACTCTTGGTTAGTGGAAAAATGAGAGTTTGAGAATATCCAAAGTGTGTTCTCAGAGAGTGTATGTCCCCACTGTCTTTAAAATGGCACGTTATTTGACACTTTCTCTCAAAGAAGGAGCTCAAGCTAGCCCAGGCTGTTTCCCCACCAGGGAAAACTCTTTACCAGACTTCTGAGGTCAGTGCTAGAGAAACCAAGGACTCAGCCTTATTCTTGGGCTGACTCCAACCCAGACTTTGCATTCAAAATGTGGTATTAGATTTCTTGACTTCAAGGTCATGGTCAATAGGCAGTTTAGGTTTTTTTCAATGGTCCTCCCTGCCAAGAAAACCGATAATGTTCTCTATATCCTCTGGCAATCTATGTTGCTTATAGGAATGGGGTGTGGATTATACATTGTTGGGTACAATTTCCTCCCGGAATACAATGCATCTTCTTTTAGACATCCCATGGAGATAATTTGGACATAATGAAGATCTATAGTAATCAGATAATTACTATCGATTGCTCTTTAGACGTTTTGATGAGGTAATTAGGGTGTACTGGAAAGCTAGAACTGATTGATTGGCATGACTATAATCTCAAAGATTTCTAATTATGTTTCTTTTCTTCTAATGGCTCATAAACAAACATCATTTTAGCTTTAGAATTTGTCAGGTGCCAGGTTCACTGGGAACATAAGCTTTCTCTATTATGCTAACTAGACACTGAACATGATCAACAGAAGCTCATTATGCCTTGCTGCTGAAGCAGAAGAAACTGCAATTAACCCTCACTTTTCTTATTCATCTTCATTTCCACATGGCCAGATTCTTGTCGAGGAATGGAGAGTGAAGTGTTGTGGGAAGCTGCTTCCAAAAGGAGCATGTGCGGCTCTGGGTTGGGTGGGTCTGTATGGCCCACTGGGGAACCTAGGAGGCTGCTGAACCACAGGCACAATGACACAACATATGTGTCTGGGTAGCCAGTTGCCTGGTTGGGGGCTGGCTGACTGAGCAGGCTCCTGTCACAAGTAATAGCTAGCCATCAGCCAGCAAGCCTGAGTACACTCAATGTCAATATTCTCCAGCATCTGGACCATGCCTGTCTCTCTGTCAGTATGTAACTGCCTCATCTCTTCCATTAAATGATAATTAGAGAAATCCCTGTCTGAGACCATATTCCACATTATCCTAGCATTTCCTACACCTTATAGGACCTTTCAGCAGCTTGCATTGTTCAGAATAGCAGTCTGACTCAAAGATGATAGTTGCTAAGAACCACTAAAGAAACAGCTTGAAATGAGCTGTTTATATCCAATCAGTGATATTGGAAGCTCTCACTTACTGGTCTACATAGGCATGGGTTAGAATTCACTGAATGACCCATGCTCGTTGATATCCTTCTGGGTATAAGACAATCTGGTGCCCATACTCAAAACTCACTATGACCCATCTGTGCTTTGTACCTGGGTAGGAAGGACCTGAATGATTGCTGGCACTATTATACCCCATACTTTCAACTGAAATCACACCAAAGAAGAAAATCATATTTTGCTTTTGTATTTTTATAAAATTCATTATTTTCCTGAACTTATAAAGAAAGATCACAGATTGCCTACATACTGCTGTCACTAAAACCTTTAAAGCATGAGAGGAGCGCTGTGTACAGGGATGGTTCAGACAGCAAAGGAAAACCAGGATGTCTTATCCACTGATAACTTACCAGTGTTCTGCTGTTTGGATAACTGCAGCTGTAACTGGAAGTGCTTCATTAACTCCCATTAACTAGCTTGAGGAATGGAAATATATTTAGAATTTGTCTTCAAATTACATCTTTATATTATAAATAAGTAGAGTTACATAGCACATTTTATCAGCCAAAGTTCTTAAGAAACAAGGTGTTCTTTTTAAAATTTAATCTAAGGAACTGTTTAGTTCAGTATTTGGTGCTGACAACTTCCATTTTCCTCTAATAGGACTTATGAGCATATTTTAATTTTTTTGATAATTGGGAATTATGCAATGAATAATTTTAAGCAATTTTTTTATTATTTATGTAGATAAAGAAACTACAAAAGGTTTTTAAAAAATACCTAAAACACATTCCAAATTTTTGTTTTATGGCTGGGTTGGTTTTCTAGTGATTTTTTTCCCCTTTCCCTAAAAGTTTCATTGAAAATCTACTACCTTATTTAGCTATATTTCTACTTTTTTTTTCTCCCTTTTATTTGGGGTTCTTCCCATTTTGTGTTCTGATTGCTGTTCTTCTGAATTTGATTAAATATTCCACTTTACCATTGGGAAATGCAGACCTGCCTGAATTTGCCCTACAACAGTATGATGTGGATTGCTACGACATAGTTGGGGAGCAGTAGGTTTCCAGTCACATCCTGCCAGGGGTTTCAGTTGAAGGGTCTTGAGGCTGCAAAAGTGGGAGTCACATGTTGCACAAGTTAGGTGTGGTGTCGGGAGGCCTAGTGACAAAACATACTCGTTTGATGAGACAGCCAGCAGAAGTAATACAATTCAGTAATCCACTTTTGGCTTTGGGCATGTCATAGGAAGTTCTGCAGCTTGAGAGACAGATGGGAGGACAGCTTCTCGACGAACCGAAGGCTCTTCATTTTAAAGGCAGCACCCACAACCTGCGCCTCTCAATTCACGATATCGCCCATTCCCTCTGGAAGAGCAAATTGCTGGCTAAATATCAGGTAAGGTTTCCAAGCTGAACTAAAGGCTCAGAGACAGCTCCAAGAAGAGGGCTGAAATTATTTAGGCATAAGATGTTTTCTTCCTTGAAATTAATCATGCATCAGTCATACTTTCTCCAAAATAGTTTGAGGTTATTTAAGATTTTTGAAAAATACTTTATTGACATATTTGAAAGAATGCTTTTTTCTTGATTCTCCAAGTCATTGTACTATCATTGTTTTATTTTTAGTAAAAAGGACTTCCAAGTCCACCATTTCAATTAATTTTTAGAGTAAATGTTAAAACTGGCTTTATAAAACACAGCCTCAAATGCATTCATAGGCAAAACAGATGAACACTGTAACTCCGCAGGACACAGGTTAGGCTTCAGGCTTACTAGGAGAGTTGCTTTACACTGAAGACTCAGAGGGAACCCTGGTTTGGAGACTGAAATAGAATATAACAATAAAATCTGGTCAGGATTTTATTAAAATACAAACACAGGTCCCAAGTCTTATTGTACGTACCTGTGGGAAAACCAAAGGCCCACCAGGGGTTTTCACCTCCTCCTCCTCACTCAGGGAGCCTGAGCTCTCAGGAGACTGTGATGGGATCTCTAGCCTCATACCCAGTCTTAGGGATGCAGACGTACTTAGCTAAGCTGTGAACTGATGTCTGCACACAGACAAGTCCAGTCCTGCACCCCACCACTGCAGCTGAAGTCGCTGCCATTTCCTGCTGTAAATTAATGAACATACTCGAGTGAAGGGACCATTTCCAGCTCCATTCTCACTCTTATTTGTCTAGTATTTACATATAAATTGTGGGAAATAAACCTTGTAGTAGGCTAACAGTCTCTAACCATGATGGGGGGACACATTCTTCTATATAACTCAGCACTTGATGGAGAGATCTGGCTTTTGAGTTTCTCATTAAATTTCTTCTTTTGATTTCTTCTTTCTCCTGTTTTGCAACTATCCTAAAAGTTCACAAATCTTCCCGTTATTAACAATCTCCTTTGTGTGATCATAATGGGAAGTGCCATTTTTATAATAACTTTCATCTGACATTAGTTCAAGCTAAGCCCAGCTGGATTCTTACCATCTGCCAACACCCTGCACCTTGGGCTCTATCATTGAATCCCAGCAGGTCTGTGACTTAGGTGCTCTTTCACTTACTCTTTTGCAGATGGGGAAACTGAGGCATGCAAATGTTAGTAACTTGCCCCACAGCACCAAGCAAGCAAGGGGAGGGTGTCCTCACCTATACTGAATTCAGTCCTATAGCCTCTGATCTTAACCACCATGTTCTCCCACTTTTTATATATCAACCCTTTCTTTTCTTTAGAAAAAAGACCCTAGGATGGTGCTATATGGTATTTTAGACTTAAAAAAAATATGGTATTTTAGACTAAAAAAAAATGTTTGAGCCTTGGTACTTTTTCTGCCAAGGGCTTTTCTATGGCAGCGAATCAAGTCTGGTTTCCAGCTCGCAGTGAGTTTGTCTTTCCCCCTGTCCTGTGAGGGGGAGGATTCAGGCATGAGAGGGAGCTGGATCAGTGCCTCATCCTTCAGGTGTTCTTTGCTTTCCTCCAGAATATCATGGCAGGGATTCCTTTTAATGAGCAGGGACTGTAATGCAGGCTTTATTTGGGGATTTTTCTAAGCTTTTAAAAAGTCATTTACAATGGCTTTTTTGGTAAATGACAAGTGTCTCGTGGCTTAAGTATATGGATTCTGGAGGCTGACTCTGGGGTTCAAATCTCAGCTCTGCCACTCACTTAGCTGTGGGACTTGGGGTGAGTTATTTAACATCTCTGAGCCTCGGTTTTTCCATCTGAAAAGTTGGGGTGTACTTATGTATAAGCCTGTTGCTAGGATTAAATAAGGCACTTTGTGTAATATGAGAAAAGTACTTGGCAGCACAGTGTCTGATGGTTGCTTTTTTTTTGTAATAAATATCCACATTTAATAGACTGGCAAATGCACATTTCATTGTATTACTAACTGGTATATTAATCTTCTACATCTCAATGTGGTAGGATAGCCAACTTAAACATTTTTAAAACCATAATCATATATTCAGATTTTAAACTAAAATTATTCCCATCTTAGAAAAACAGGTGTCTAATTAATTATACTCTTAGGGATGATATTTTCCATGTTGTATCTTAATACCTTTTTCAAGCACTTAAAAAAACCTTTTAAATACATCACCTATTTTTTTGTATTGAAGTATCATTGATAGACAGTCTTATATTGGTTTTAAATATACAACACAGTGAGTGGTGCACCAGTTACCCATATTATTAATCCTCACTCCTAGTGAGGGGTACTATCTGATAGATGTTTCTAGTACCAGTCCCTCATTTGTGGTTAATACTTTTATATCCTTTAGGAAATTCCTTTTTACCATGTCTGGAATGGGTCTCAAAGAAACCTCCACTGCACGTTCACTCTGGAAAGATTCAGCCTAAACACAGTGGAGCTGGTTTGCAAACTCTGTGTGCGACAGGTGGAAGGAGAAGGGCAGATCTTCCAGCTAAACTGCACTGTATCCGAGGTAAGACGCTCTTGTCTGTCTCAGAAATCAGGGCAGAAAATGGCCTCCAGGGAGGAGAGAGAGTGGCGTATGAATGTTATCTCAATACAGGCGATGCGGGAAGTTGTGAGAAGCTTTCTACGGGTCCTATTTGGTAACAGACTAGTATTTTGAATGAACACAGGGAGCTAGATATATATAAAAGAATATAATAGGGAATCATTTTTGAAAAGCAAGTTTTATATATTTTATGAAGTGAATTTTAGGATCATATTCTAACTTTTTGCAAGAGATCTGAGTTTCAAGTATGAGGTTTAATTCAAGCAGCATGCACATGGAGTAACTTTTCCTGAAGTATCCCTTCATGCCCCACATTCTCCCATCCTCGGAGCTCACCTGCCTTTGTCTAGTACTGCCCAGTGGGTGAAGTAAAAGAGATGGGCCTCTGCCTCCACCCCTTCTTTTCCTTCTCTCCTTTTGTCTCTCTGTTGAAAGAAATCTCTTGGTCCCCTTTCTCTCTTCTACGCCATTCTCCAAATATAAGAAGAGATGCCCTTTTCTCAGAGTGGGAGAAATGTTCCAGAAATAGACTGAAATCTGTGTATTTTTCTCCCAGTGGCCATCCCTTTGCCTTTCTTTGCCAAGATTAGCCCACTTCCGCTGGTCATTTTCCCATGTCCACACTACAGAAAACAATGATCACTGTTATTTACAACTTCTCTGTCCAGAGAGATGGGTGCTTGTGACCTTATCTGTTACCTGGGACCCCCAAGGCTGGAGTCTGCACAGTGAAAACCCTTCACACTGGAGGAACAAAGGAAAAAGAATAAGCTGAGTGGTCAGAAGGTCGATCTTCTGGGGCCTCAGGAAGCCCAGCTTCGTGCTGCTCGCTGACCCCCAACCACAGGACTCTTGTATTTTAAAGCTACAGCTGGGCAGTGGAACTTAGAAGACTACGTGTCCCTTGCTGTCTCATGCACAGTGATGAATGAAATGTCACTCTGCTCAGTGCACCCTGCTCCGCATGTTGTGTTTAAAGACCGTCTTCCTTAGCAAGCCATTGGGGGCAGGGGCAGCCTGTCAGGCCCCACAACGCTCAATCCTTCTTTCCCACAGCCTGCAGAGGTGCAGTCATCATTTCCTCCTGTAGTTTCATGAGACTTTTGACTCATAAACAACTTTAGTCACAGCCCCTGGTGACATTCATAAGGGATGATCTCGGTGTCAGAGCGCCATGGCAACCGCCCGCCTCCGGTGCGCAGGCCCTGTCTCCCAGGCGCACAGCACCACCCCTGTGGGCTCCGAGGGGGGTTTTTCACTTTCCTAGCCCAGCAGGTCTGCAAAGTTCAATAACCACCCAGGTCCAGTGACAACAAAGGCTGTGGAATTTTGGAGGGGGGCGAAGAGGTCTGCTCCTTTGATGCTTGCTTTCTGTTCAGCGTGAACGTTTGCTGTGTGATGAAAAGGTGGATCAGATGCAGCCACCAATGAAAGGGAGCTGTTCAGTACTCTTACCCTGCGAGGGCCGCCACCCCACACACCAAAAAAAGATAGTTTTGCTTAGTGTGCTCACGATTTAAGGACTTTTCTTGTGCCAACATAGAGGAAAGATGATTTCTTTTGCAACTTGGCATCAGTCAGCTCAGAGAGGCCACCTCTTCAGTTGTGTTAGAGACCTTTGCCCATGTGTGACAGACAGGCACATTGAACAGAGGGGGGTGCAGAAATGACTGGAGTCAGGTGACTGTGAGGACTAGGGGGCGCTCTGCTGCATCTGCTTCTGGGTCACTGAGCCCCACCATTGTTGTTAGCATTTGAATGCGGATACTTGTGGCCCACAGAAAGGGGAAGAGTAGGGCTGGGTGCTAACATTGGGGAGTGAGGCTCAGCTCTGCACAACTGCCTCTGGAGGGCCCTGGGGCCCACTGTGACTGACAAAGAATGACCAAACAGGCCCCATTTGTGGTGTCATTCTTTCAAACAGGCCTTCTTCCTAGGGCCACAAAGGGAACTAGCAGGTGGGCTGGGGTTACAATCCCAATGTCCTGTCTACCAAGAATGAGCTGATTTGCCAGGACTGTGGTGCTTACCCCACCTGCAGCCATTTATAAAGCGAGGTGGCCCTTGGCCTCTCCAGTCAGGCAGAGGACATGTTGCCCCCCACACACAGGGAGACCAGGCTGTGCTTGACATAGACTGTGGTGATGTCAAGAGCTGGCCAGTGGTTCCTCTTGGGCACTTTGGCTAGAGATCCCTTCACTGGAGACAAAGCCTTTAGTCACAGAGAGATGAAGTTTAAGAATAAAAATGTATGAAAGAGTAAAAGTATGGGTGTGAATGAATTTTTAAAAGAAAGAAAAAGTCTCATATCATCATTTACATTTTTAAGAAGAATGTGGAGGGGAATAATAACAGACAGGCTACCCATCACCACCGAGAGAGAGAGAGAGAGAGAGAGAGAGAGAGTAGTGAAGACAGAGAAATTAAAGACTCTTCAGGCCTCCTGTTTAGTTTTAGCTATAGACAAACACCTATCATAGGAAATTCCCAAATGGAGAGTTTCATGGGGATATAGACAATTACCTAATCCCTCTTGCCTCAGTTTCCTCATGCAGAAATTGATAAATGGTATCCACTCCTGACTGCTGTGAGAATTGAGTGAATGTTAGTAAGTGCTGTGAACAGAATGGCCCATAGCACATGTTCAATACATATTCACCATTATTGCTGCCACTGATTTTGTTAGAACAACTGGGCTCTTGTGTAAACACTGCCCCACAACCTGAGGCATCTGTCATCAAACTAAACTTTAAATTCCCTCTCTATCAAATTTTAAAAAATATATGAATAAAACCTCAACTTTAAAAATAACTCTAAATAAGTAAAACTTAGCTCCCAGAGAAAAGAAGATGGCTTAAGTCCTCGAGTTGGCTGGTCACACCATTTTAGCTGATAGCTTTGAGCCCTGGAAAAAAAGTGGAACATTAGGAGACATATTAGTCAGCTGTTTTACCAGATTATAATGATAACTTCTTACGTTTGCTAGACCTTATAATCTCTGTTAAATATAGACAAACACACTTTTTACACATGAAAAAATATTTAAAAAGTAAAAAGTAATACTGCTCTACAACAGCCAACCTGTTTTCTATAACCTGTTCCAATGGCCTTTGGAAAAGCCTAAATTCCTTAGTGATTTTAGAAAGAGTCACAATATGGAAGTGGAAAGTCACTGCTGTCATGAAGTGCTGAAAATGTGTGCCAGCACCCACAGCAGCTATTGAGTTAATGTTGGAAAAGCATATGTTTAACTGAGGGAGTCATAACATCAAAGACAGATGGTACCAATATCATAAATGATTATTATAATAGGCATTCTGTGAGAGTAAACTCTACTTTTACCTGGAAATAAAGAACTAAAAGCAACTGAAATTAAATGTCAATGAAGTTTAAATGTCAATGGTATTGTGTAGTTTTCTTTTACCTCCAAGGCTGTCAGCCATCTAATAAGAGAGAAGGAATTTTGCCCTGTTGGGATTGTTTCACCTGCCCAGAAATAGTGATTTTAGGAAGAGCCACAATATGGAAGTGGAAAGTCATTTCTACTGTGGAGTGCTGCAAAAGTGGGACAGCACCCACAGCAGCTAATGTTGTTTGGTAACAGTAGCCAGGGCTAGAGTCTCAGGACTTACAGGCCCAGATGAATGATGGTTCTTTATTCACCAAGAAAACATGACTATGTGATCAGGCCTTCCTGAGAGCCACGCATACCTTTACTTGGCCTTTACCTTGCCTGCATATCATGTTGATATGTTATCACATACATTGCATGGTCAAAAAATGGCAGCTAAACCCCACCTAGAGGTGGAGATTTCAGCATGATAACAAGCGAAGGGTGTCTTGAGGCCATTTGGGGCTGTCTTTGCACATGTCTCCAGTCAAACCTAAGCTGGTTCTGGACACTATTGCAACTTTCCAAAGTTCACTCAACTCCTATTGGCTCTGAAAAACAAACCTGACCTGTCTTGTTACCATTATTCTTTTTGGTGTATACAGCCTATGGTTTTGTCCACCCCCCCCCCCCTTTTTTT